AAGGAATGTCCACACAAGGTATGTAACGTAAACCTGGGTGTGTGTGTGTCCGGACAAATCTTGTCAGCGCGATAACTTGAGAAATACTTAAACATATGAACTTCAAATTTGGTTCGTGTATTGTTCTTGGTAATCCTAAAAAGCCTTTTGCATTTGGGACCGAAAGGTCAAGGGTCAATGTCACAGTGGCTGAAACAATAGAAATGTTGTCAGCGCGATAACTTGAGAAAAACTTTACATATGAACTTCAAATTTGGTTTGTGGATTGTCCTTGGCAATCCTAAGAAGCCTTTGCATTTGGGGCCAAAAGGTCAAGGGTCAAGGTCACAGTGGCTAAAACAAAAGAAATTTTGTCAGCGCGATAACTTGAGAAATACTTTACATGTGAACTTCAAATTTGGTTTGTGGATCGTTCTTGGTCATAGGCCTATCGCATTGGGGGTCGAAAGGTCAAGGGTCAAGGTCACAGTGGCTAAAACAATAGAAATCTTGTATTTATTCTGAGATCATAGAGTTTAGGGATTAATTCATATAAAACCTACACAAACGTGTTTGCTAAATTTTCATTCATACAGATGCGAGTAAATGCTTCAAAATTGGAAGTACCAGTAAAAGCAAATGCCATGTTTTATTCATACGAACATGGTATCATTTGTACTTTATGAACTTTGTTAATATTAATTTTTCGCGATTAACATATAATAAATGCTGTAGCTTTGCGCAGAATTATTTACTTTTTAATTTCAAGGTTGCCCCAACCCAGCCCTGTGAATGACAAGTGCAAATTTGAAATCTGAAGCATTTACTCCTTTATATTCATACGAAACGTACAGATGGGAATAATGCAAATGCCAGTTTTTAGTCATACGAACTACCGTATGGTATTATTTGTACTTTTTCGCGATTAACATTAATAAATGCAGTAATTTTTGCGCATAATTATATGCTTTCATATTTTCGAGGTAGCCCCAACCCAACCTTGAAATATGACAAGTAAATATTTAAAATTTGTAGCATTTACTCCTTTTTATTCATAAGAAACGAAGTAAACGCTTATAGTGTAGCAAAAGCTAAAAGGTAAAAGTAATTATTTTCAGAATTTAGCAAACGGTTTTTAGTAAAAGTGTTTGCTTAATTTTCATTCATACAGATGCGAGTAAATGCTTTAAAATGGTAGCAAAAGCATGTGCCATGTTTTATTCATACGAACATGGTATCATTTGTACTTTATGAACTTTAATAAATGCAATATTTTTTGCGCAGAAGTATTTTACTTTATAATTTCAAGGTTGCCCCAACCCAGCCTAGTAAATGACAAGTGCATATTTGAAATCTGAAGCATTTACTCCTTTATATTCATACGAAACGAAGTAAACGATAAATAATTTTTTTCTGGTAATGAAACCAAGGATCCTCAAAAGTGCATGCCCCAGGCACTGTAGCTCGCAAACCCCGAAAAAAAAACGTAGAGAGAAGACAATGAGAAGAAATTACAGTTTTAGAGGTGGGAGGAAAACCCCAGAAGAATAGTCTGGGGAAAACCCACGGAATCAGGTAGGGACTGAAAATTGAATGCGCAATTACCCACTGCAGCGATAACCCGCCACCGCGAGAGAGCGCAGCATAACGACCGCACCGTTGCGTTGAGCGCGAATCACGTGTTGCCGGGGCACCCTATACGAAGTTGTTTGCTTGGAGTTCATGCATACATGACTGGTCGTCAGCCAATTGCGAATATTCTTCATGTTGCGGTCAGGCGCGGATATCCGGGGAAAGGGAGCGGGGGTATGTAGGGTTCGTCAAAACAGCGTCAAAATGCTCGTCAAAACAGCGGGGATCCTCATACTATTTGGTAAGGAGCCCTGTTGGCGAGTCAAAAATTATTGGGATATGGCAAAGATGAAAGTACAGGAAGAAAGAAATCATAACATTCAGAAAGCAAACCGGTATAAATTTGTGTATAGTAAACGGTTGAAATGATTAGATGGGGTTATTTGAAACAATGACAAATTTTCTTCAGGATGTATGTTTTTACGTGTATGCCCAACCTTGGGTTATGGTTAGCCTGAACATGAATTATAAAAGATGAGTGAAATAAAAGAGAGAGCCTTGAGTCATGATAAAAAGCACTACAAGGTAGACGCCCAGGTTAAGTGACAGCCGTCAGATTGAAACTCCATCATAACTGGTTGTCTAACTATAGGGCTTGGCAAGGACTTCGTACTTTTTAGAATGCATGATTCACATTGCGAAAGAGGACGGTTCAACAATGATATTTACAAGATGCAAGGTCAAACGTTCACAATGCGAAGGTATATGGTTCATATTGCGAAGAAGCAAGGTGCAACGTTGATATCAAGCATGATCAATGGTGTACATTGATAAGATCCAACGTGAATTTTAACAAGTTGGAACATTCACATTAAGAAGGAACAACTTCCAAAATGCGATATTAAGCCACGTGCAACGTGCATATTGCGAAGGTATAACGTCAATATTAAAAGGTTACAAGGTTCACATTAAAAAGGTCAATATTAAAATGTCGTTCCAGGGCCACCGTAGAAAACCCAATCCACATGTAGATCATGGGTACCGGGTGCCGATGCACAGCGCATTGTGCACGTAAACGGCATTACGTTCGTCGCGTTTGATGCGCTTTTTTTGTATCCGTCCTCCAGCACGTGACCCTCCCCGGTGCCGCTTTCCGTTTCGGTTATGATAGTGTTATTTTCTGCAAACTTATAAACATGTAAAGCTTTACATTTTGCAGGCCATTTACTCAAGAGCAAATGGTATTTAGTAAAAGTGTTTGCTTAATTTTCATTCATACTGATGCGAGTAAATGCTTCGAAAGTGGTAGAAAAAGCAAATGCCATGCTTTATTCATACAAACATATGGTATAATGAACTTTAATAAATGCAGTAGTTTTTGCGCAGAATTATTTTGCTTTATAATTTCAAGGTTGCCCTAACCCAGCCTTGTAAATGACAAGTGCATATTTGAAATCTGAAGCATTAACTCCTTTTTATTCATACAAAACGAAGAAAACGATTATTAGGCCAAAAAACGCTCTGGTTTCTGGTATGCGCGCGCGTCGCCATAGCCATGCGCGTCGGCAATGTAAGATGATGTCTTTCAATGTAAGATGATGTCTCAAACCACCAAACTCACTGGTTCGATGATCCTGCTGCTGCACAATTTTAACGTGTTATTTCTCATAAAGTTATTTTTCATGTCTAAGTTTATTTCAAGCATGAAGAACAAAGGAAAATGGATGTTAAATACAGTTTTTTTATTTTTTTATTTTTTGCACTCCCCTTTTTGAAAAATCAAGCTCCGCCCCCCAAAATTGTGCAAGATCCAAGATGTGTTCACCTCTTATAATAATTTTCAGCCCATTTTAACTAGACCTGCCAATTTTCAGGATTTTACTACCAAACCGAATAATGTTTTCTATATTAGAACCAAACTGCTAATATATACCGCCTCTTTTGTACATTTAGGCCACGCCCACAAAATGGGTGGAAATTAACTAGTGTTCGAAAGCAAGAATGTTATATTTTATGTTTAAGTTTATTTCAAACCATAGAAAAACAAGGAAAATTGATGGTAAATACAGTTTTCATGAGTTTGTATTGTTTGCATCCCCTTTAAAAACAAATCAAGCTCCGCCCCCAAAATGGGCAAGATCCAGGATGGGTCCCGATCTTAAAATGAATTCTAGCCCATTGGGACCCCACCTGCCAAATTTCATGCTTTTACCACAAAGTGCACGATTTGGGCCAAAAATGGACCTAAGCAGCTCCACTATAACTAAAACCATCAAGTATTCATTAACTACAAAAAAAGGGGGGAAAAAGATTTTCCACAATTGTTGCTGGTCCCTAATACCTGTACATATGGAGATGAAAGGTAATTGTATACAATATTTGCAAGCATAAAAATATTTGCAAACATAAAAATATACTACAGTGGAATATGAAACACCTTACATGTACTTGACTGTAAGTGCATAATAGCCTCAAGCATCCTGTGAAATCGTGGCACCCGGTGTGCTGTCATTTTCAAGAAAAGTGGAATTTTTGTATCAATTTCCAAAGATAGTCAGCCAACAATCATTGGAAAAAAAACGAGGATTTTTGGGGGGTTGGAATAAAACATACAATTTGTAAATCACTTAAGTGAAATAAAAGATTTTGTTCAAGAGCAACTCTAAAAGAATAAAAACCATAAAATGCTTTCCCAATATTTTTTGGATTAATTATTTTGTGTTTGGCTTTGGCCACTAAGTTATAAATACATAACAATCTCAACTAAGAAATTCAGCTTTAGCATTTTCACAGTACGTTTATATTTTGCTTAAAGCTTGGAAACATCTAGACAACAAAATCAGACAATTTGTTAAAGAAAATTACCAGCATAATACAGGTCACTTATCGCCCTTAAAATAACATGTTAGTTTGGAGAAAAAAAATATACAGGGTGAGTATAAAAAAATGAAACCCAAATGTCAGGACCATTGTTTTAGTGAAGTTCTCCATGTAGCGCTTTCAAAATCTAGGATATGAAAGCCTAATTCATAAGCTTTCTTTTAGAACAAGAATCATTCAAATGACTCAAGTAATTTTCAAGTTACAGAATTGTAAACACAACCACTGTTTTAAAGTTCTGTCCATGGATCACAAATAGGTAAGTGTTCTTTCAGCAAAACAAAAACAAATCACATATGTGTGAATTGTTTTCGTTTTGCTAAAAGAATACACAGATTTTAAAAGTGCTACAGGCATAACTTAACTAAAACAATAGTCCCGAGTCCTGACATTAAGGTTTTAGTTTTTTTTTACTCACCCTGTATAAGCAAGCTACACAAAATCATAACTTCAAACCATTTTCCCTTTTAAAAATATCCAAAATAATTTTTAAGAAATAGTAAAAATGCATAAACCAACCATATATGTATCAAGTTAAAACAACACAATACTTCAAACCATTCAGACACCCACAGGTTGCTTGGGAGTTTGATCCTTTGTGGATAGTGGCAGGTAGTTGATAGGAGCTTGAGTGGGACTCTCATTCTCTCCATCATCATTGCCCTTGATGCAAAGCTGGAAGCTTCTTCCCTCTGTTATACCAGAAAGTGAACAAGAAAAACGTGCTGTAGTTGAAAAATTGAAGCACATTTAGGAACTGTGGCACATTTAGGGTCTTTTCAGAAAGTACATTCGATGAAAGTTGCGTTCCCCATGCTCTGCAATAAATAATTTTTTTTTTTTAATAATTTTTAACTTGTACGTTTTCTTCAAACCAAAAAACCCTCTTTTCCCCTTTTTTTTAGAAGTCTCCAATTCTCTGAAAGTGTTTCGGGCACAGACAGATCTACTTTGCGAGCAGACTGGCTCGCGGTCCGCACATATTTTTATATTGATTGTTGGGCGGGAACCAGTGATAATTTAAGAACTAATTATATTGGCTGATCTTTTGGGGGTCAATTTCTCATTCACCAGTGAATAACTTTTGAAGTGCTAGAAAAATAGCAATTTAGAAAAGGAATCTATTATTCGGTATGAAATAGCACGGGGAATGCCGCTTTCAAACTTCAGACCAATTAAAGGATGAGAAAAGGTGACAGGAGAGTAAATGATTGTATGACTTACTGCCGAAGTTCTCTCCATCCTGAATGGTATCTGGCAGACTGTATCCCATGGTCTCTGGAAGCATCAGAGACAAGACTCCAGCAATGATGGCACTTCCTCCAAAGACACAGAGAGGTAGTGGTTTCCAGTACTTGCCCAGGTTCAAGATGATAGGACAGAGGATGCCACTAACACGAGCCATCATGGAAGATGTACCAATGCCGATACTCCGGATGCTGGTTGGATAGATTTCAAGAGAGTAGATGTAGATGTGACCGAATGCTGCAGTGATTGCAAATTTGCCGAACATGGCAACTGCAGCTCTGGCAGCTCCAAGAGGAATGAAGATTGTTATGAGGCAAAACACTCCACCAAAAATGTAGAAGGCAACTAGGGTAATGCGTCTGCCAAAACGGTTCATCACGTACCAACAGAAAAGATAGCTAGGTATCTCTATGGCTCCAGAGACAAAGGCAGCAAGGTAATCATCTACCCCCAAGGCAGAGGTACTCAGAGATAGTCCATAATACACCATGTTGACAACAAACCAGTCAACCCAAAGGATGAGAGTTTTCTTGCGTAGGTTGGGAGTACGGATCAGATCAAGTTGGGTGACAGGGATGCGAGAAGGCTGCTTCTTGTCTTCTTTGCTGTCTTCACTCAGTTTGTTCAGTAAGTCTTCTGGAGCCTCGGTACCATTCACTTGAGCTATCTTTTCAATGATTTTGGTAGCTTCTTTGTATCTGCCTTTTGTTATCAGCCAGCGAGGAGATTCAGGGAACACAATGATCACAAGAAAAGTCAGGACGAAGGGGAGTGATATAGCTAACTGTAGGTGGCGCCATTCTCTCAGAAGGAATGCCAGAAGGGACAGAATCATGTAACCTACAGCAAAGACTAGAAATAGCACAGTTGTTGTACCTACACGATTTTTAGGACCAACTATTTCAGAAGCTAAGACATATAACATGAGACTTCCACCATAAGCACAGGCTGCTGTAAAGAAGCGCATGGCAGCGTAGGCAGTAAAGTTGGGCACAAAAGATGTAACAGTCGATGAAATTGTGACAAGAATGACATTTAAAATAAAGGTCTTTCTCCTACCAATCCAGTCGCCCACAGAACCCCATACCAAAGAACCAACCAGCAATCCTGCAAACCAAACTGACTGGGCATAGGCAGGTAGATCCTTTCTGTCACAGACCAAGCTGAAATCTTCATTGATGGTAGACTTGTAGCGTGAGTGATCAAATTCCCAGCCAGCATCGCAGGAGATGACGTCCGTTGAATTAAAACTCATGTTTCTACCAACGTCTTCATCATTCATGACATACCGCTCACACGAGGAGTAGACTTTGTTTCCATCATCATCAATCTCATAGGGAATACTGTAGCTCTTCTGCTCTTCCTGACACTCAGCCAGCTGGAGTTGGCTGCAGTTGATCACCTGGCTGGCTGGTACTGCACACCAGTGATCGGTGTTAGCAGCCAGGAACACCTGCCCTATGAAGTGAAAGGGAGGTGGAATAATAACCAAAAACAAGGCACACACCAGCAGTTTCTGGTACTTGCCAAAAGGCCCGATATGATTCAAAATGTCCTCGTACTGCATGTTGAATTCTTCAGTACTTGATCAGTGTGTCAGCCTCAAAAGTATGAGCTGAGCTGTTCCATATAGAAGGGTGTGTTCCCTTTACCAACCACCGTCCTTTTAACCTACAGATGAATCCAGTATATGTGTTTACTCAAGCATAAAGTAGTCAAGCACTGTAGTCTGCATTAGCATTGGAAGTAACAAAGATCTGTATGGCATTGCCGAACCGTAGTTGTCGGTGTATATAATCCCGCAATCACAAAGTAGTCTAGCACTGTTTTCTGCATTAGCATTGGAAGCACAAAGATATAGTAATACACATATATTATGACTTTTGTGACCTCGCAAACAGCTGGGGTTTTTGTGTCACTCAATTCTGTAGGACTGCATAACGGTATGCCCGTACATTGTACATGTTCAGGTTTTTCAAATTGCTATCATTTCCCGAGTACCAGACTGAATTCCATAAAACTTGTACGCAGGTGTCACTGAGTGTAAAAGATAATGTGGGGTATTTTTCAGGTGAAAGGTCGAATATCAAAGGTCAGCTGAGGTCAATAATTGATTAATTCATAGAAGTTAAGGTTAAATTTCTGGAGAAACTTTTTAATATTGTACATGCTGTGATGGATTCTGATGAAACTTTGAAGCAGTGAGCCTTGGGTGGCAAGAGACAATTCTTCTCTGGGAGGTTGAGGTCAGAGGTCATGTAGGGGACATTAGAGATCATTGTCGTTTTCTTGCATCCTCGCTGCGATTGTTTAATTAATTTCATATTTTTGGTCGCCGTAAAGTAAAATGTGACAGGCCCTTTTGTTCTTAAGACAAAAACAGTCAGCAGGTATTGCCAAAATTCAAGATTTAGCACTCGAGACGTGCTCTGGCAAGCTAGATTGTAAAATTGGTGTGTTGCTTTCTGAAGTTCAAGCGAGGAACATTTGATCGTACAGTCGTTTTCCCATTCCGGATGGGAAACATCATTCAGTCTTTTTTCGGCTCAATTGATCCACAAATTCAAGTGACATTGATTAAAAAGTTTACCTTGAGTGATGGAGATACTACAAAATAATTTTCCAAATTTAAGCTCTTTTAATGTTGACTTTGCTACGTCAAAAGTACCGATGCCACTTTTCCTATTTCTGGATCAGTTCAATCAGTTCTGAATTGATCAAAAACTGCTTCGCTCGAAAAACAAAATCACGCAAGAAAATCAATTTTCTGAAAAAGTATTATTTAATTTTTTGAAAAACAGTTCATTCAAGAGAATTCCAGCAAATATTGAAAAGAGAATTAATGTAAATGATTTTTAAACTTTTGTCTGCAGCGGGACGGCACGAACACGCACAGACCAAAACCTTTGACCCATCACAGAATACGTCACATAAAAGCAATTAATGCACGTGTAGTTCCTACTTGCACGTGCGATCCGGAACTAGGCAAAAACATATCGTCATTCCTTAGCAAATTTTCAAATATTACAGACTCTACAACTTATTTGATTCAACAAACATTCGATGCAAGAGTTTATACGACTATAGAGTACGAACAAATTATTCGAAATCACACAGTCCGAGTGTTGTACCGAGGAGATTTTTTTGTGTGGCTTTTCTGCAACTTTGCAGAAAAGCCTGTATTTTTTTACATAACCAAATGACGAATCCACCTTCAAAATGTGTCGTACCATGTGGGAATTGCAATCATGGCGCCAAAAGGCAAGATGACCATTTTTTGAAAGAGACCAGTTGCATCAATATCTATTTTAAAATGATCCAATATAATTTTTAAAAATATTTAAAATACTGAAACAAACCATATATTGTCGTGTGCCAAGTAAAAGGTCGCAAGTTGCTCAGGCACGCAAAAAGCACTTTTGGAGATAATCAAGTTGAAAGGTTTTGTGCTCCCATTTCTAAATTAAATATCACATACATGTAAGGCTGAAATTTGGACGCATAAAAGTTGTTAATAATTGCAATAATACTGTGCATATTAATTTCAAAATATTACTTACTTTTAAAGTTAATTCAATTTGTATTTTGTATTTTTTATGGTAGTGGGCCCCTTATTTTATTGGTTACGACCTTTTACCGGAAACTTCATCTGCCTTAAACGTGTGCTTATAAGCGGCATGTTAAATCACAATGATCTTTTGCTGGGAACCAACTTGGCATTGCGTACCCACTTGAGTGGGACGTTAGCTCACTTGGAACATATATTGTTACATTAGAATTACACGCTGACGACCTTTTGCCGGGAACTAATAATGAAAAACTTCCTTACAAATTTTGTTTACAGTTAGCCTTTTGAGACAAAATGTTAATCATATGAAAGCAGTGGCGTAGCCCCCCCCCCCTACTTTTTGAAGGGTGGGGGACACAATATCAAATGTCCCCCCCCCCCAGATTTTTGAACTCGTGTCTCATTTACAGGGCCCTATTATGTACTACAATGTATCTTTTGCTTAGAAAATATTGGTTAAAGTGGTCAGAAATTGCCTCAGATAGCACCACAGAGCATTTAGAATCCAAAATTTGTCGGGGCCCTTAGGCGGGCCCCGAACCCACGCCTATAGCTCAGAATTCTGGTAGCTGATTCAATGACTCCAACCTCGAAAACAATGTTCAAAAAATTTTCTTATGCCTTTAGCTGAGAAAACCTCGAAAAATATGTTTAAATTATTATCTTTTGTGCTAAGATAATTTTTGGTTAAAGTGGTAAGAAATTGCCTCAAATCACACCACAGAGCATCGAGAATCCAATTTTTTCGGGGCCCTTAAGCGGGCCCCGAACCCCACGCCTATAGCTCAGAATACCGATGGCTGATTCAATGACTCCAACCTCAAATACGATGTTCAAATAATTATCTTTTGCTAAGAAGATATTAGTTAAAGCATGGAGGAAAGTGGTAAGAAATTGCTTCAGATCACACCAAAGAACATCTAGAATCCAATTTTTTTGGGGCCCTTAAGTGGGCCCCGACCCCCACGCCGTACGGGCTTCGCGCTTCGCGCCCGCATCAGTTCTGATCAAGGTATGGCCCCCCCCCCCACTTTTGAGAAGCGATTAACGCCCCTACATGACGCCCCCCCCCCCCAATGAAATGTTCCAGCGCCCCCCAATTGAAAATTCCTGGCTACGCCACTGTATGAAAGATATTTCCATGCTTTATCGGTTACCCGAAAAATCTAAATTTGACTTTTACAATTTTTTGTCCTACTACACAGGCCCGTCGCCAAGGGGTGGCCTAGTGGGGCTGGGCCCCCCTTGGTGAGCACTTGCCCCCCCCCCCCCCCCCCCCACGGCAAAAGTCATACATAAATGCATTTTGTATTTTTTATGGTAGTGGGCCCCCTTATTTGATACAATGGCCCCCTGAAGTTCAGGGCTGGCGACGGGCCTGCTAATACGACCTTCCACGGACCGAACAATGTGTATCAGCAGAAAAAGTTAATTGATGAAATTCCATAATTTAAACTAGAATTGTGAACAGACACATAGCTGTTTTGACAGTTGTTTTAGAGAGATAGTCATGTAGGAGTTTCATCCAATTCTGATACTGTACACATAGCTACATATGTACATGTGTATGATACCGAAGTCTGATGTACATGTACATGTCTATGTGAAGGGTTCCGAAATTAGTGGGGTGTGTAGAAGTGAATTTGGTATCAACGTCTGCCATATGGGCTGGGGAACTATCAGTAGCTAACTCGACTGGTTAACAAAGTTGCAGTGGTGGGTCATACCCTCTTGTGATATTCATGGTCGTCTTCGGTGTTTTATTTATTTTGTTTCATGCTACACAAGCATAGCAGATATGTGTGAACTTGGGAATGTCTTTGAAACTTTCATAAATTAAATGACCCCTTAAAAAAACAAAAACCAGGAAAACTATTTTATTCACTGCCTTAGAATATACATGTGCTGCCTATAAACTGAACGGTTGTAGCAATACATTTTTCTCCAATACAACAACCCCATGAACAAGTTGTATTAAATTTCCTCCCTGAAAATAGAAGGGTCTGATGTTCGCAAAAATATACTGTATACAATCAGCTACATATGGTTTAGGTGGTTGGGGGATGGAGTGACTGACATTCAATCCCGTTGACAGTTGTAAAAATGCTCCAGTGTATGGTTTGATGACTCCATAACATCTGCCAGTAGTATTAAGTGCCAAAGTGTATGGTTTGAAGAAAACGTGTACAAAACCTATGGAGAAACAAATGCATCTTTAATGTGGTGTAACTTGACACCTGATTACATCATCGCGATGAAAATCTTCAGCATACATCTTCAGGTGGTGGCCTAACTGTGTGCCAAGTCTGAAGTCGATCGGATTTCTGAAAGTGCCAAAGTGTATGGGTGGAAAGAGAAGAGTCTGAAAAAGAAGTCCGGCGGGGCAAGTGGTAAGACATCTGCACTAGAAAGCAGGAGGTCGTGGATTCGAGTCCCACCCGAGTGATTTTTTCCAACTTTCACTCGGGAGGTAACACACTGAGTATACAGTGTTTAAATGTCGGTGAAGGGCAAAACCTAATTTGATTTATATCACCCCGCCGCAAATAATTCCATCTTATAATAAAAACTTGAATTCAATTTACATGTTAAAGCAGTTTGTTCTTATTGATAAACTGAAAATTTCAACTTGAAACAAAACATTAGAAAGCAAAGCTTCCTTGCTACAGTTTAGAAACTAAGTCCATAGAATTCCTTTTCAAACATAAAATGCACGAAAATAATTATGCAGACGAAAATACATGGTTATCAAAAAGCTTGTAAATCAAGAGTATTTTTAACCAATAAAAAAAATCTTCAAATTTTTTTTGCTCAAATAGCTCAGGGAAAGAGGGGCCAGGAATCGTTTCGGATTTCACCACAGAGCATCTAGAATCCAAAGTTTCCTGGGGCCCTTAAGCAGGCAACACAACGTATGACATTTGCCCTCCGCTTTAAACCTCGAGGCAGATGTCCCTTCGCATAGTTACAACAGTTGACAAACTAACTCTATATAATTCATTTTCAAAAATAAAATGCAAGACCATAATTATGCAGACGAAAATACATGGTTATCAAGTGAAGAACCGAAGAAATTTAAAAGACATACAAAAGCAAGAGTATATTTTAAACCAATGAGAAAACCCTTATAATCTTACAAATTTTGCTCAAATAACTCAGGGCTAGGGGAAAAGGGGCCAGGAATCGCCTGAG